CCCACTCGTGGACACCCACCCACCCACCGGCGCCACTTGCAGCGAGAGGTCGAGAAAGGTGTGTCAGGTTGGCAACGCCCAGTTTCCATGCATGGCAAACATGATACTGCGGTCGACCAGACACGCCGACCCGTTGCCGGCGGGGTAGTAGAGGGTTGTGTTGACCGACACCACCGGCAGGGACGTGAATGCCTCAGTGAGGCAGGAGGGCGGGAGGGAAAAGAGCAGCAGGATGGAGCAGAGGAAGAGGACCAAAGGGATGGAGATGCCGACATCCTGCGATTTGACGCCGCTGCGGGGCATCAGTCGACTCACGAGGCTGCCAGTGGCGTCTCCTGCCAGTGGTACTAGCCCCCAGCAGCCCCCAGTCTCCGAAGTTTGAATGATTCTCCCTTCCCCGATGACGAGTTTCAAGGACCTCATCGACCGGACCAAGCTCTCTCTGGAAAGCCCCACCGCCCTCAAGTTGGCGCAGCTCGGCTCCCTGCTGCCACACGACGTGTGGCAAGGCGTCAACATCAGCCGTAACGAGGTGACTATTGGGATGCATGGGGGTACGGCGACACGACTCCCACGTGCTGTGTTCTGTGCGTCCAGGTGGATATCAGGAGGCCCGGCATCCACATCGTCAGTACCCTCACGGGCAGAGATGGGGAGACAGCTTCTGACAGGCACTAAGACGTCTGACCTTGTGTCTGTTGTGTGCTGTGTGTTGATCTTCTCAGCTGTACCGGTCGGGCTGGCACTGCCCAGTATGCCACTACAGCCGGCAGGGGTCGGCCGAGTGGGCTGACCGTGAGTGCGTGTCGCTTGAGGGAGGGCTGTGGTATCTGCACATTCAGCACCAGGTAAGCAGGGGCGTGGGAGGCAAAGGCAGGAAAGTCAATGTAAGAGGATGCCTTGGTGCATGCAGGCCGCCGACTTTGTCATGTGTGACGCAAGTCACACTGAGTGGGACAATCCTCCGTCACTCACAGGAAGTGAGCGCTTCAGAACGACAGACGCCGTCATCCAAATTGCTTGCGCCTCTGCTGTGCTACTCTCAGAACCCAATTACAGCGCCCCAGCGGAAGGCGTGTGTCTTCTCCAAGACGGACGCCTGGACGTCCTGAGGTGTAATGTGGATTATGTCGGTAAGAAGCTGATCGATGAGAGACACACGGTTTTTCACAAGCTGTTTGTTCGTCAGACCGGCTGTGTATCCTCGACAAGGCGGCGCGCGGCGTAGCAGAGGCGCACCTTCTCTACTTCACCGGCTGGACGTCGCCCCGCATCCACTTCCAAAAGCCCGCCGACGGCCGCTGGACAGACCCTCCAGGCATCGTGTGCAATACGTTTTCCGACGACCGCTGTGTATGGCATGCGCAAATGCCATTCCATAGCGTAAGCTGCACACCGCACAGGGATCCACGCAGTGACTCGTCTTTCGTGGGTGAAATGTGCAAACATGTTTGCCAATCAATACTCAGGGTCTCGAGTTCGTCCTAAATAACGGGAGCGGCTCTTGGGATCACGCTCCAGGAGGTGAAGGAAGAACCACACGGCCTGGATATCCTTCTCTGCTTGTCACTGTGGTGTGTTTTGCGTATGTCTGCAGGTGGCAACTACATTCTCCGAGGCGCAGGCCTGTACTTGCTGGTTGACGGAGAACTCCTGCGGCCGGAGTCTCTTCGTCATTATCGGCAGGACCTTCTCCAGTTTGTTGTTCCTGGCCTGAGCGCCGCGTTGAGAGAGGCCTCAGGTGCGGCACAAATGCGATAAAGTGATTGATCATCTGTGTCTGTCTTGTCGTGTGGTTGTTGTAGCTGGCCCCTTCGCAAGGCCCAGCGCAGCGGTCTCACCGATGGCCAGCGACACGTAAGCCAATTCAAGGGTATGGGTGAGAATCGTGTCATGGGGTCTCTCTGCTTGTTGATGTGGCTGGCTGCAGGACCAGGGCGACCGAGCGACCGAGCCTGCCGCCCAGCTCCCCACCACCCAGCTCGCCTTCACACTCAACGGCCAGGGCAACCGACACGTGAGTGTAACAGAAAAGCCACGAAAAATGCACCTGATAGACTCGACTCTTGCTGTTCAGCGTGGCGAGAGCGACGTCAAGTGCGAAGATCGAACCACTTCTCGTGAAGATCAAGGAGTTGCGGAAGGCTGTCAGAAGGCTGTCCGACATCTCCCCGGAGGACATATGGGCCCGGATACGTTCCCTGGTCAAGCCCAATCAGCTCATCCGTCTCCGGCCGGTCAACTCACCCGACCAGCCCACCGCATCGAGAACTGCCGAAGCACAGCAAGCGGAAGCACAGCAAGCGACGTTCGACTCGGCCGCCCCGTGGCATCAGGTTAGAAATACAGTACGAAGGAAAAGACACGTTTGTGTCAGTTGTCGTGATGTTGCAGGATCACGATACAAGAGACCTCCATCAGCCGGGGCTGCACCTCTACTACAAACTCAAGTCAAGCTACAGCGGCAGCAGCACCAGCAGCGCCAGCAGCGCCAGCAGCGCCAGCAGCAGCGTCAATAGCGGCAACAGCGCCAGCAGCGCCAGCAGCAGCGGCAATAGCAGCAGCAGCGCCAGCAGCGCTAGCAGCAGCAACAACAGCAGCAGCAGCGGCAATAGCGAGCAGATACAACTGAAGTGTGAGTATGTCGTCGGCTTTATAGGATCGGATCCGTCAAAGCATCGTCTGGACAGCAAGGAGTGTCTCCAGCTAACGAATGAGCTGTGGTATGCTCACATCGAGCAGAAGGTGAGCCGAGACACATCAAGGCCGACAGCCGGGCACGAATTGTTGTCGGGCTGCCTGCCTTCTCTTTCAGTCAATGTGCTTCGTGATGGGCATCACCGAGGGTGGCAGGGAGAAAGTGTTGGATGCGCCCGTCGGCACTGACGGAAGACGTAAGGCCAGCGCCACTCATCCAGCCATCAAGCAAAGAAGAGAACATCAGTCTCTGTGTCTCGGTCTGTTTGGCGCGTCAGGGGGCTACTATTCCATCGAGCAGGAGGGCGTCCATCTGTTGAATGAAGGCGTTGTCCACACACTCTGGTGCGAGGATATGATCGCTCGTGAGGCCTGTCTCGGTGAGAAACGACCAAAAATGAAAAAAACAGTCGGCTGCAAAATCCTCCCTGTCTCCTTCAGACATTCTGTCGCTGCTCGACAAGGAGGCAAAAACAGCGAAGAGGGCCCACATCCTGTACACGACCAGCTGGATGTATCCCCGCTGCCACTATCGACGAGCAGACGAGATTTCCGACAGCGGAGTGAGGGAGGAGAAGTGGACTCTTTCCCCCGGTGTGAGGTGTGAGGGCGTTCCAGAGGGCGGGGGAGACCTCTTTCACGTCTCGATGGCCTGGCACGAGGTCAGAAGATGCAGAACACAGTCGGCACCTTGTGTCGGTCATCGTGTGGTCTGCCCTGTCAGAATCTGCGTGTTCTGTTCAATGATGGCAATCGACAAAGAGCCGCCTGGGATCATCCTCAAGGCAAGACACGACTGGCACACAGTGTCATGACACTGGCGGGTTACATGTGTGTCTCTGTGTTTCCCTCTCCAGATGGCAGCGGCGCTTATCTGATTCCCTCGCCGGGCTTTTACATCATATCGCAGAGCTGCATGTACTCGGCCTCCACCTTCAACGCGGCTGGCGATGCTCTCCTTCGCCGCATATACCAGCTGCTGGAGGCAAAGACGGCTGACATGGCCGGTAAGCAACAGAGACACGAACAGCCCGAAGAAGTCAGATGAGTCTTTGTGTGTGTGTGTGTGTGTGTGTATGTTGTGTGTCTCAGCTGCCGACGAGCATCGTGAGGCGCAAGCGGAGCTCCGTGCCTTGGCCTCGCGGCTGAGCACAGTGAGAAGCCAGGAGAGTCGTCCTTCAGAGCGGCCGGACAGGAGGCATCACAGAGGCGACTAACATCCATCGTGGGACACACAAGACAAAGTCCAAGACATAGGGCATTCTGATGGCGTGGTAGTACGTGCGCCTGCAGGATAGGACATGGATGCGATGAGTTGCAGTCGGGTATGTGCCGTGAGTGAGGGGTCTGTTTGCTATTTTTGCGTTGATGGAGATGTGAGACTCACTCACTCACGATAGATGGGATGGATAACCTATGTATGTATCCTTCGAGAGACACACCGACAGCCAACGGCTCGGCGACTTCTTTGCGTGCGTGTGTGTGTGTTGGATGAAGGCTGGCCAGCCAAGCTTTCACTGCATGTGTTTCTGTGGCTGTCCATCGACTCATGAATGCAGCCCGGCACAGAGACAAATGAATGGACGAGCGAGCTGCTGTTGGTCCGCCGGGCACACCGTCGGCTTCGCCATGAGCGTGACAGGCAGACACACACCATCCATCCATCCATGAAGCGGCCCAGCAAGGCAGCAGGCAGACGCCACGCACACACCGATGTCCTCCCTCAATCCCCCCCTCCCTCCCTCAATCCCTGTCTGTATGCGCACACACACACAGACAGACTGTAGACAGGCAGACAGAGATTGCACACCGACCGCCTTGAAGGTAAAGGTTCAATCACACATCGCATCTGTAAAGAGGCCGCCACCCTGTCCACCTGCACCACAGAATCAGTCCTGACACACAAGGCATGACACACACGTGGGGGTCGTCCATCAGGCAAGTGTGCGGTGGCGGGGGGGAGGGGTGTGGGCGGTGTGGTAACCTGCAGGGGCGGGGCCACCACCACCACCAGCAGCTGCAGGGGGGAGAGCTAGGCCAGCTGGGTGCCGAACGCCACCTGTGCGTCGGCCCCCATCACCTGCCGCACCACCGTCACTGTCTGGGGGAACCTGGCGGCTCCCTCCTTGCCATCCACCGGAACCTGGCGGCTCCCTCCTTGCCATCCACCGGAGGCTTCGTCGTGTAGAGGTAGGCGATGGCATATATGGGGGAGCTGCTGATGGCGATGTGTGCCTCGACGTGGTGGCCGGGCTGGTCGCCGTGCAGCACTATGATGCGCCGGAAGTCTGCTGCCGCCCAGTGTCTGGTGCTGGTGGTGTGACAGCCCCAGATGGGCGACTCCTGAGAGGCGAGCTGCCGCTGAAGAGAAAGTGAGATATGACAATGAGCGAGGGGGACAGCTGGTGAGGCAATCGTGTGTCTGTGGGTGTGAGGCTGACCAGTCGGTCGTAGATTGGGGCATTGTGCCACCGGTTGCCATCCTGGTACACGACCTCCGACCCTCCCCAACGCATCCTGATCAGACACATCACGGCAGAGCGGTGCAGCCAATGTGTTTATGTGTCCGCGTGTGTCATTTTTCTCACTCAAACAGCACAGCGTCGCGGATGGACGGAAACTCAGAACCTACACACACACACACCCAATGGTCCCCCTCCTATAGTCCTCCCCTTCTCTCCCGCCCTCACCATGATACTCACACACGGGGTTGGCCGGGTCGTATCCATCGCGGAAGGGATGGTCGGCCGGCAGTGTCTGCAGTGGGCGGATGGTCAGCCGAAGCCCATTCAGCCGTTCCTCGCCATCGTCGCGCCCGAGCGTCATACCGATGTGCCGGCCGATCAGCGAGAGCTGCCGCAGCGCCTCACACCGGCTGTCGTAGACCGCCCGGCTGCCCACCGCCTCCACATCAGCACTGGTCAGCTCTATCGGCAACTGCCCGCCTCCCCGCCCCTGATGCTTGGCCACCCTGATGATCGGCTCCCAGCCCGCCAGCTCGCCGCTCGTGTCGATGAAGTATACCAGGTCCAGCAGCACGTCGAGCGATGTCAGGTCAGCGGAGAGGGAGACGATGTCCTTGAGGCCCTTGGCAACGAGCTGGGCGTCGATTTGCTTCTTGACGCCCTGGGTCACAGTGCGGGTGATGCTCTCCTTGTTATGGTCCAGCTGCAGCTGTTGCTGAGTGAAGGGGCCGTTGGCAATCTGTGCGATCAGTGCGCGTCTGGTGGGATTCGAGCGGGCGGCTTTGCTGATGAGCAGGGGCAGCAGGTCTTGAGGGCTGGTGGGGCGGCCGCGACTCGATGATGACATTGCCTGATGGATGAAACAATAAGAGACAACCGTGATGCGTGGCATATGATCTGTGTGTGTGTGTGCAGTCTTAAGAATTCACTCACAGGCCACTCACAGGTGGCTGCGGCAAGCCGGCCACAGTATCATCATCAGCAGCAGCGGATGAAGATGACGCTGCAGCCGCCATGGCTATAGGTCGACAACGCCTGAAGCAAAAAAAGATCAGCAAGAAGATGAGATGAGATGCACATCCTTCCATTCAATGGCATTCATCCATCAGTCCTTCTCATCTCTGATGCTCACCAAATTATCGGGGAGTACAGCACGTCTCAGTGGAGGCTTCTCATCGCTGTCCACACCTCGGTCCTTCCTCGCTCATAAGCTCGCACTCAGAAGAAACGGTTTTTGTCTGCGCAGGGAGGCAGGGTATGCGCAGGAGAGGACAGATCTATGCATTCCCCTGGCATTCATTCATCCATTCATCCATCCATCAGGTGTGCGGCTACAGATGTGTTGAGCGCCCCCTTCGTTCGTTGCCAGCGATGAATACACGTGTGAGTGTCCGAGCCCAGGGTCCGAGCAGAGCCCTTCACACACATGTTCCCCTCCCTGATGCCTGTGCACACGTGTGTGTGTGTGTGTGTGTGTGTGTGTGCTGCCAGATCTTATGGGCAATCTGAGGTGGAGCTGAGGTGTCGGCAGCAGCATCGACACACAGCTGCATGGAGGCTGCCGAAATCGCCCACACGCACCTGATCACCTGAGCAGTGAGTGCCAAGCTGAAAGCACAAACGGGCGGGTGGGTGCCCGTATCGTCTTTCTCTCTCTCTCGTTGGTGCAGGTGGTCGATAGTGTCCTGGCGATGGACTCAAGTAGCGATGGCGGCCCCGCTGCCTCCAGAGGTCATAGCACACTCACGCACACAGCCACACGATGCATCGAAAGACGTGACCCGTGTGGTTCACTCAGGGAAGGAGGGCGGCGGATTGTATGGCGATAAGGATAGCTTGCGGGATGTCATCGATCAGATACACTCGGTGAGAAAAGATGAGAGGGGCGGGCGAGCTGCCAGCACATGGTGGCTGTGGAGCAATTGCTTTGCTTTGCTCTGTGCAGGTCACCTCACGGATGGCCGCCAAAACTGAGGCGGCGGATCTGCAGATATCAGATGCCGAGAGCAACACAGAGGTTCGCGCTGGAACAAGCCACACGTGCAGCCATTCCATCCCCACATCTCATACCCTACCCGCCTCTGATTGTTCTTTGTGTTTTTCTCTTTGCCGACAGGCCTGTGTATCGTTGGCTGCCCGTTTGTCCGGCGTGCTGGAGACCCTAACAGATGCCGACTCGACGCTCAGCAATGAACTCGCCCAGATCCCCCCTGACGCCCAAAACAAAGAGGTGGGGACGGACTGACGAAGAGAAGTCTCACCCGAGTCAAGATCTCTCCGTGTGTCTGTGCGCGTGTCCATCATCAGCGCACAGACGGTGACGGCAGGCTGGTTCGGTGGCTGTACAACATCCACGATGAGGCCAGCAAGGCAGCGTACCTCAGCAAAGCGGTATATATGCGAAGGCACACACACACATGAATGCAATTCAAGTACTGATGGACCGCCTCACGTGCTCATTCAGGTGTCTGCTGGTGACGGGAAGGGCTCACAAGTGGGAGCCAGCCCGGCTGCTGCTGCCGCCGCGAGTAGTGGAGGTACACAGGACACATCCACACGCCAAATGTCTGCAAACATCTTAAGGGTGGCTGTGATGGATGGTCGTGGTTGTGTGTCTTCAGGTGGTTCGGTTGGCAATTCTGGTGCTACAGCAGCAGCAGCAGCAGCAGCAGCGACACGCCAGCAGACGGGAAGCCCACAGGTGACACATGCACATCGACACAGGACGCGACCATCCCCACTGACTACATGCCTTATCCTTCTGTTGTGCATGTGTGTATCAGGATTACGGCCGGCCGTGTTTGCCTGGTCTGCCCGAGGGCGTGGTCGGTCATATGGGGGCGTTTTTTACCACGAGGACGGCCACTCGCCTGACGCGCGTCAACAAGGAGACCCGCCAGAAGGCCACAGACAGTACATATGGCGTCTTCCGACAGTTCGCCATGACGAGAGACGAGACCAGCAGCTACGAGAAGATACGAAAGCTGAGGGACGTGAAGCACCTGGTGAGATACGGACACAGGGCCGTGCTGCGAAGCTGTGACGTCCACATGTGTGTGTGTGCAGGTCAACATCCGAGCGGCCCATGTGGATGCGTCGGATGTGGTGCCGTGTGTGGCCGAGTTGCTGGAGAAGTCGGCAGAGACGCTCGAGGAGCTGCATGTGTCGCCGGTGCCATCTGACCCGATCTTCGGCTTACCGGTGGCCCGCGCCCCGGGGGACGCGACCCGCTTCCCCAAACTGACGCAGGCGAACATCCAATCAGAGAAATGGCTGTGGCACATTAGGTATGGGCGCAGAGGACGAAGGAGAAAAGAGGATGGGTGTCTGCCCTGACCAGCTGTATGTCGCGTTGCTGTGGTTGTCTGTCTGCAGCAACCGTCGGTGGGCCCTCCCAGCCCTCAGGAGCCTCCACGCCCCCCACGTCTTCTCTAATTTCGCGTCCCTGCTCAGCACTTCGACCAAGATGGAGCGACTGGAGGCCGAGTATATAATGTGTGAGGCCGACTTCACCGCCGCTGTCGCCAACTGGCCCAACCTCACGACCATCACCGGCATCGAGATCCAGATGCCCGATAAGTTCCGCCACGATCTCAAAGATTTGGGCCGTATCAACGACCTCAAAGACGCGCTCAATCAGCACTGGGGCAAACCAGAGAGCAAAGGTGACCGACAGAGACACTAGCAAGATTTCTCATTTGGTCGGGTGGACTACCTGTCTCTGCTTTTGCCCTTTTAGTCGTGCCGAGGAAGCTGTGCTTCGTGGTGTCCGACCCGATGATCGACGACGAGTACGGGCAGGGGGAGGACGACCTGAGGGGCATCGCCGAGTGGGCGGCAGAGGTGCATTGCGAGCTCGAGTGGCGGCCACGGAGCGGGCTGACGGTCGACTGCGGTGAGACGTGGGGTGCCCCGCGTGCGCCGACTGGCCTATACGGCGAGATCGCAAAACAGCTGGCGTCAGAGGCGACTGAGGTCAGGAAGGAAAGGGCAGACACATTAGATCGGGCAGCATGTGTGCGTCCGCCCGTGTGTGTGTGTGTTTGTGTTTGTGTCCTTCAGGTGGACTTGCTCCTGGGTGGCATCCCGCTGCACAGGAGCTGGCGTGACAAGCTCATCTTCACCCACGCCAAGTACATCGACATCTGTGACACCGAGACGAGTGCATCAGATGTGGTGGCGAGCATCCCCGAGTGGCTCACTGAGAGGGAGGGAGAGGGCCAGACGGCGGCCAGCCGGCACTTCCCGGCCCTCGAACACATCCATCTCCGGCTTTACGATGTCGTCCTCTCTGAGCTTCCCTCTGCCCCATCAAAGCTTAGTCGCTTCATCGCGGGTCTGAGGGCAGTCAGGAAAGTGACCTTGGCCACTGTTCGTAGCTTTGCCGTGGGCTGTGAGTTGCTCTCGTACCTGCCTCTGCCATCGCTAGAAGAGGTCTCTTTCCGGCCTCCTGGCCATGACCACCCTATCGACTCGTCTGACTGGCCGGAGGATGTGCCGGCGGAGTGGTCGCTGCGCTGCCCGCACATAGAGCACATGACCTGTCCAGTAGAGGACGACGAGTGGCAGGTGTGGAGGGGCAAGGCAGACCTGCGGTCGTTCGTGAGGTTCGTGTGCACGCTGCGGCCGGCGAGGGTCGATGTCGGTGGGTACCTAGAGGAGGCGAGTTGCAGGGGCAGGATCAGGCAGCCAGGCTCACAGACCTCCGGTCGCTGGTGTTGGAGTGCTTTGAGCATCTCAAGGCGCTCTACACCATGGCCGAGGGATGCTGCTGGGTGCAACACGAAGGAAACTACCTCTCTATGAAGCTGGTGGCCAAGTGATGTAACACCAGCTCTTCTTGGGTGTACAGTCTCTGTCTGTCTGCTTAGAGAGAGGGAGGGAGGGAGGGCATCGGTGTGTGCGTGGCGTCTGCCTGCTGCCTTGTCTCCCGGCACATGTTGCGTGTGTGTGGCTGTGATTGTCATATCTGTCGGCTGTCATGCTCCTGGCGAAGCCGATCGTGTGTATATCTCCTGTGGCCCCGGTCGGTGCACCCATTCACGCAAAGGGAGAGAGGGACGGGTTGGTGTCTGGATGACTGACAGCTGACAGATAGATAAGCAGAGGGGACGGAGGGAGGAAGGGTGGCTGTGGTGGTGGATGGACCCATGGGATTGACGGGTGGCATGGTAGGTGTGGCGTGAGTAGATGGGTTGATGTCGTGTGCGTGACGCTGACGTGTCTGTGAGATGCAATGGATCATGGGCAGTGCTGGCCGGCTTACCACCTTCAACTCCAAACTGCAAATGGCATCGGTTCAATCCTCTGCTTCCTTCTGCCGCGAGCTTTGAGCTTGCCCCAGAGAAACGGACGAGCGGATAGGTTGTTCATTGTGAGTGCCCTGCAACGATGAGAAGCCTCCACTGAGAGGCCGTACTCAGATCTGAATCGGTGAGCATTGAGAGAGGAGAGGAAGTGGGGAAACTGTCATTAACCGTAACACTCGTCTGTGTGTCCGTGATACTCATACAAATACAGTCCCATCAGCACGCAGACCCAAACAGGCTCAAGGGG